ATAGCCTATGATTCAGGTAAACCCACAAATCAAATCAGAAAAGCATGGGCTACATGATTGGGTGTTGACTGTATCACCTTTGACAAGAATGTGATGCTTCTGGCAAAGAGGCTGCAAAATGTGACATGATGTAACTAGAGAAACCAGAAAACTTTCGTGAAAAACATGTGGCTGCTTGGAATTCACTGTGGTCAGAATTTACCTCATAGAATGGGAGGGGTGTTGAATTTTAGGTATTGAACATCTCTGTGTGATATTCAGCACCATAATCCTAACTCATAAAGAAAACCAACTAGAGGAAGACAAATGGTCTCAGCAAATACCTCCAACGGATTATGGGACCTGGCGTTTGATCTGGCACTAATCCAGGAGCAAGTTACAGCTCAGGGCCTCGCTGACCTTGCTCTGCAGTTCAGCTCCTTCCTTTCTACATCTTTGCTTGATTTTGTTGTCTCCCTTCTCCAGCGATCACTTCATGAGCATGAAGAAACCCTGGTCATTGCCTTGTATGACTACCAAACAAATGACCCCCAGGAGCTGACGCTGCAGCGCAATGAGGAGTACTACCTGCTGGACAGTTCTGAGATTCACTGGTGGAGAGTTCAAGACAGGAATGGGTAAGGCACCTTTTTGGTTGCTGTCCAGCATTTGGGGTGAAGTGGGAACAGAGGAAATGCTGGAGGCCTTGTCCTGCCTCTTAGCGTGACCACCGCGCTGAGTTAGGAGAGGAGAGCCGAGGCAGAAGGAAAAGGAAGGAAGAAGTAACTGAGGGGTGTCTTTCTGCTCCTCAGAAGTAGCTGGGAGGCAGCGACTAACTATCATTGCTTCCTGCACCCCATCAAGCTTTCCCAGTCTTTAAATTCATCTAAAAATCTCCTAGGTTTTTCCAGTGACATCCACAGTTTGGGAGATTGGCAATTTGTTCCACAAAGAAGCACTATTGCTCTTGAGTGTTTAAGTAAGAGTGAAGGTACATCCTATTGTGAAGGGCTTATTTTTGGTGGGAAGAAGAGCTGTGCAGAGATGGTGCGAATTAGTAGTCACATTAAGAAGCATCAGGAAGAAGATACCAAACTAAAGATTTAGCTCCACCAACAATTTTTGAACTAGCCATCCAGATAATTCATGGAGAAAATAACGTTGCACAAATACCATTACCCATGATGGGACTTTGGAATAAAAAATTCTTATGAGCCCTTCTCTGATCTGAAGCACAGTAAAATTATTATTAACCTTCAGAATGCTTTGGGATGTGTATGTGTATGACTTAGATACTGGTGCTTTGTTTAAAGGCATCAGATTCATGCTGCTTTATAAGGCTTTATTTTTTTCCTTTTAATATATCAGAGGTATTTGCATACCTTGGAATGTTCTCTAGAATAGGATTTCAATGACCACATAAATCCAATCCAATACAAAAAATGAACCATAATTTAGCAAATTCTCTTGTTGGGCTCTTCAGTTATTTCCAATATTTTGCAAATATTAAGAACACTTGAATGAACAGTCTTGTATTAATATTAAGGGTTTAAATTTTTTAAATATGAGGTTATTATTAGTTTAAAAATATAAAAAAGAGAAAAAAATGCTCCATCATTGAAACATCTGGCTAGCTTATGTCGATATTTTATTTTTAAAAAGTAAGTCGAGAGAAATATACATGAAAAATAAGTCACGCTTCATTTGTTTCTATATTAATTCCGAAAGTAATGATTATTAATATTTTCTTATTTAATCTAGACAAACAAAAATTACACATATACAAATGCAGTCTTTTAAAAATTTCCACTAAAGTGGTCCATTCTGCTTTTCACCTTGCTTTTAACCTTCAATGATATATGTTAGCATATTAGCAGCTATAAATCTACCTTACTTTAAAAATAATTGCTTAGTTTTAAAATGTACACATGTATTATTTTGCTCCTCTTAATATTGTTTAAGTATTTAAATAATCTTTTATGGTGAGTCATTTAGTTTCCAAGTTATTTGTTTTCTTTGCTATTTTAAATAAGGCTGCACTAAAGATCTTGTATTGTTCATTGGCAATCTTTTGAAAAAAAATATATTTTTAAAAATATATATTATTTAAAAAGATATTTTTTATTTACAAAATATATATCTCACATTTCTAACTATGGAATGGTTGAGTCAGAGTATGTGACATCTTAATTTTGATTGATAAATCTCTCAAAAAGGCCATCAAATTTACATTCTCACCAACAGTGTATGTGAGTGTCAACACTAAATATCATTAAACGCAAAAAAAAAAAAGGTAATCTGATCGGTAAAAAAAAAGGAGGAGTTACAAATTTCTTTAAGGCTTTACTTTTTTACATGCACCAAAATTTACATTTTCAAGGCATCTTCTCTTTAAGAAGCCTCATCACCTCCACTGTAGGGTGATTGAGGGAGGGGTATAAAATATAACCAGATCGAGATCTGTGGTCTGAGAGGTAGTGTCACTTGCTTGCTGAGAATAGACTCCAAAGCCCCTCATTCAAAACCTCCCTCTCTATTTGACTTGTGGAGGCAAACAAGGATGGTCTCATCACATTCTCTCTGCCTATTATGGGGAGGCCTTATCAGAAACAGGTTCAAGATAGCCTGGTTCTACAAACATCAGAGAAACTTACTTAGAAATTCATCCCTTCAACCAACTGACATTTATTTAGCACATCTAATGTGCCAGGAAATTTCTTCTCCTGGGTCTCACTTCTCCAAATGAGAGTTTACCCTTTGTTCAGGGGCCTGTGGAAAGACTCAACTGTGCACTTCAAAGGGCTTTGAAGAGGACACCCCAGAGGCCAACCAGCACATGGGAATTTCCCAGTTTGCTTTGTAATAATGCAGTATAGTGGAAAGTACACAGGATGGCGAGACAGAAGAGTTGGGTGTTAGTGTCAGCTGCTCTTGATGTTTATGGCTTTGGAAAAGTCACTCAACCTCTGTGAGTCCATTCCCTTATCTGTAAAATGCAGATGATACTATTAGTTTTGTCTCTCTCAGAATGTCAAGAAAATCAGCGAGCTGTTGAAAGTGAAAGGGCTTTGTAAATTCTATATCCACGTGCAAGTGAAGAGGATTATCATCATTTGTGCAGATAACCCAGCTTGGGCACATTAAAACACAGTTATTCTATTTGAAAGCAAACATAATATTTTACATATTAATATAATTGTAAACATAAAGTGTGGCAAAAACGTTTAATTAAGGGGAATTCCAAGAGAGAGATATAAATGAAATAGCAAATTTCAGAACAAGTTGACTCCCATCAGTTGGCATTGACTGCTCTAGGCACTGTGTTAAGGGTGATTCTGAGCTTGGATGCCCAATTCTCCAAAGAAAGCATAGCAATGTCAGCCATGGGCACAAGAAGTGAGATAATCATCCCATATATGACATCCCTAGTTTTGATTTTGTCACTCCTCAAAACAATTTCGTGAAATAGATCACACATTCCCCATTAAATAGAATCACTACATTGAAAAAATGGCCTTATTACACAGTAATTAAAACATTTTACAGAGGAAAGAGCAAGAAACTGCCAGGCATCTTTTGATTGATTGGCAGAGTCTGGGGGCTTTTTACGTATAACCTAGTTTAGGTTTCTCATTTTACAGGTGCAGAGCCAGAGGCCCAGAGAGTGAAGGGTCACTGTTCTCATGTATTAAATGTGATAATAAGTGTGAAAGTGCTTTGAAAAGTGCAAAGCTACATGCAAATTTAAAGTATTTTGTTGTGCTTATTCCTGCTCAAAAGAGACTCCCATCCCCGAATCCAGCATGATGTTATCCTTCTTACTCATTAAAAAGTATTAGGGAGGCCTTGAATTAAAACTTACAATGCTGACTGGCAGCATCTTTTGGTACCTGTGGCTGGAAACTAATTTTTTATATTTTAATTATTTTGGTTTCATGACTATAAAATAATAATACTAAAGTGGAAAAAAATACTGGTTATCACACACACAAAAACGTTTCCTTACAGAAAATAGAGAGTGCACATTAACCTTTTTTTCCAGTAGAGGAAATTTCACAATGAGGAGAGCATCAGGCAGAGCTTTTTAAGTAAAATAGCCAGGTCTTATTTATTATGGTTTCTGCTTTAGTAGTGAAATCTATTGCCTTTAACAGATAGCAGGTTGTAGTCATTTTTAGCAACTCTTTTATTCTAAAACTTTTAAATGTCTTCTCACAAACGCCAAATAATGTGAGACTCTCTCATCTTTAAGTGACTTTTAGTGGATTAAACTTATAAAATAGAGATGTGAAAATTGGTCCTATGTTAGTCTAACCCCTGATTTCCCTTTTAACAGGCATGAAGGATATGTACCAAGCAGTTATCTGGTGGAAAAGTCTCCGAATAACCTGGAAACATATGAGTAAGATATTTTATTTACTTTCCAAAAATATGGTACTAAGGAGTCCTATTTAAATTAGGAGTAAATAATTGATTGATTATAAAAGTACCAGATGTTTTTTTCTTCTTGACCCACTTTCTTCTCCCCACACTGTGATCCCTAAATAAACAGTAGAGGAACACTTTAAATAAAAGAAGCGGGAGAGTATGTGTATTCACCTGCCCTTTGATTAAAGGAGTACTCCTCAGATGCCTGTGCAAACTGTAAAAGGAAAAACTTCTTCTGGGAATCCTGGGAATATCAATCTGGCTGGAGAAGGCAAAAAGTCCCTATGAACACTGGATCAAATACAAACCGATTAAAATCAGGGTTTAATCCTTCCAATTCCAAAATAGCAGACGAATAGGTATTAACTCTCTGCTTAGCTTCTGTTGTTTATTTTAAGCTGTCATGTAGAAGAGGAATTCACATGAACATAATTTTAATGGAGCTACTTAATGTTTAATAAAATCCGGTTGCAGTGTACAGAGAACTCACCATGTCCACATATTTCCTAGCTCAGCTGCTAAAAGGCTCAGAAGCGATAGCACCATGGTAGCAATGTGCATACTCAGTGTCTAAATAACACTTCTCACCAACAAGAACCAGGACTTCTTGGAGAAATGGCTCGGGGATTGAGAGGTGGGCCAGGGAAAGAACTAGATGAACTTGGAACATCTTATGGCACCAAAAAGTAAAGAAGTACCCACCAAAATTTTTTTAAATGATGGGGACATGTCAAACAAGCACAGAAATCAGCTTTAAAGTGCTCCTTCTGACCAAATCTTGACCAGTTCAACAAAATAAATCATGACAGTAATGTACTACAATCCACTGTAAAATAAATATCCATAAGAAATAGATAGCACAATAGATAAATAAATAAATAAGAAAATAAATAGGAACAGAAAGTCCTTTCTTACAACAGAATTTCAAATAATAAACGTAGAAGGAATGAAGTTTAAAAACCATCATTTTGTAGTTTATCAACTGATTCAGGCAAAAATCATCAATGAATGTCACTCCTAGGGGGTGAATGTTTGATATTTACAGTCTCAAACTATCTTCTCACAGATTGCTTCTCAATAGCAAAGTGAAAATACCTGGGAGACCCCTTCTTAACCAAATGATCAATAATGAGGCAAACGGACACTGTGTTTTCTGACATGATACACTGAGAAGGACACATCACTTCATAGTATTCCTGCCCAAATGCGCATAACTTCAATTTAGTCATGAGGAAATAATAGACAAATCCAAATTGAGGGATATTCTACAAAATAACTGGCCTGTGCTCTTCAAAAATGTTAATATCATGAAAGATAAGAAAAGCTGAGAAACTGGTCCACGTTAAAGGCAACTAAAGAAATGTGGTAACTCAATGCACTAGTAATCCTGAATTGCATCTTGAATCACTAAAAATGTAGTTAAAAAACACATTATTGGCACAACTGATGAAAGCTAAATAAAGTCTGAAGTTGAATAATAGTATTGTATTAATGTTAAATTTTCTGATTTGGATCATTTTACTTCGGTATACAAGTGTATATTCTATTTCTTTGAAATTGATACCAAAGTACTTAGTGTAAAAGTCTATTCTCAAATGATTCAAAAATATATATCTATCAAACCAGAGAGAATGGTAAAGCAAATGTGTAAAATGTGAGCAATCAGTTCATCTGGGTGAAGTGTGTATGAGAGTTCTTTTATAGTATTTTACAACTTTTCTATACATTTGAAATTAGCTAAAAGTAGAAAAAATTTTAAGTCTACCAAATATAAGATCCCAGGGTTGAAGAATGCTTGCTAATGAAGATTTCTATTAACTCATTTGGGTTATAAGTTCAAATGTGGTCAAGTTATTTGTTGCTGAAATTCTAATGGATTCTATAGTGAAGAGCTATCCTTTTCTGAAGATTTTTCCCAACCCGAGATTCATTTTTATCTATTTTACGTGTAAGTAGTCCCTCCGACAGCTAACAGGAGAGTCGTCAGTTCCAATACTTGAGCTGCAATGAAACATGTATAAAATATGTTTAAATTTTTTTTTTTTATAGTCAATGCCTTTAGGAAAAAATAGACATCTATGTCAAATGCTCATTAGACTGGGAAGTTTCATTTGTTTCTTTGTTTGTTTTTGCTTTTACCCACATCTCTTCATTTATGATAGAGGGGGCAAACTCAAAATTCCTACAGACTACAAAGCAATAGAAAATGGTGGAGCCTGGGCCAAATAAAAAAGTATAGTCCCCCTTCTGAAAACATTTTAAGTCATTTTTTAAATGAAACATTACACCATACAAACAAAACGGTCTGTGAGCCCCATTTATTCTGCCCACTGTCAGTTTGTATTTTTCAGATATGGAATCACAGCTAGAATATAAAATAACTTACAAACATACAGACATTCTGTGTATATCTGTGTAGATAAAAACACCCAATATGATGACTTTTTATCTTTGATCTTAGTTGCAGGCAATATTTGCGTAAGGACTCAAAAATGTTCCACCTTGCAACATAACCCTATGTTTGTAAACCCATAGCCATTGATAGGCTCCAGGTCTCCTGCCTTGGTTTGGGGACATGACCTTGGTCCAGTTTCTTCACCAGATTGGATCTCAGATCCCTGTTCCTTAAAATGAAGGGTCAGACAAAATAAAAGAAGGTGAATCACAGCACTTTTGCTAGCATTCCCTCCCCATACCTGAATGCAGGGTAGACATCACTCTTTGATAGTGACACACCTACTGAGCCCACACACATGGCTCTGGGCAGCCATTTCATTGATTAAAGCTTTTATATGAGCCAAACGTGTTTAATACTTGGTGTTCCTTCCTTACCCAGACTTCTCTCCTCCTGGGTTTATTAACGTTCAAAACTAATTGATATCTGATGGTAGTTCTATCTCCTCTTATTTAATAAGTGGCCAAGGAGGCCACGATGTGGCTCAAGTGTTAACGACAACATCCCAAAACTTCATCCCTAAAAATCACTCATATTCTTCTTTACCACCTTTAGCTGTTTTTTTTTCCCACCAAATTATAAATATGATGTAATCACCTCACAGAAGACCTTAAAAACCACTTTTAAAGAGGCAAGTACTATAATTATTTTAAAAGAATATTTGCTATGCTTTCAAATTCGCATTAAATTTTTATAGCTGCCCTAGTATCATCCTACTTATAACCACCCACTGGCTTATGAAATAGAGCAGAAGATAAATGTTTTCCAAAATTTTATTACAGAAAATTTCCAACCTGCACAAAAGAGAAGAATATAAAGAACCCAAAACCCAGCTTCAACCATTATCAATATTTTACCAGTTACACGAGCCTCTGCTTTTGAGTTTAAAAGCATTGCTAGACACAGAAAATGACCAAATCATTTTCTGGCATGAATTATGTTTTATATGTAAATGATAAACATTTTCAAAAAGTCATTGACGTATGACCTTTTCCCGCTTTCAGATGGTACAATAAGAGTATCAGCCGAGACAAAGCCGAGAAACTTCTTTTGGACACAGTAAGTCTCCTTAACTTGCCTTTTGACTTAAAATAAAATGAATTGCACTGGGTTTTTTTCCAGCCATAATGTGGTTTAAGCCAAAGCAGTGAGTCTGTATATTGGATTTTCAGTGGTTTTCTTGTCTGGTAAAAATATTCTGGGGATTTACGGGACAAGCACACAACAAGATGAGAAACCTGGGGAGGGCTGAAGGCCTTGGTATTGACAAGCAACCGTGCCACAGGTGTGGTGGTCTTTCCAGCTGTGATGGCTGACCCCAGCAAGCCATGGGACTGTCTTCCTTGCCCGCTTCTCTGGCTAGATCAGGGGTGGCTATGACTCAGATTCTGCCTGGTCGAGCTGTGGGTGCTGAGGAAACACACTACTTGTTTTAACGTATTTTTCATGTGACAGTTCTCGAAAGCCATGCAGCATGAGTATCTGCAGCAAGACTGCTTCTCACCCAGGGCCGTTGGGATTAAGGAAGAGAGGGGCGAGGAGAGAGAAAGCAAGGTGCAGCGGAAAGAGTACCGGATTCTGGTCCCCGCTCTGTCACCAACTCAGTGTGAGACTTTAGGGACATCTCTTCTTTCATCTGGGCCTAAGTTTCTCAAAGAGTTTAAACAAATGCAATTTTATTATTTTTAATCACACATTGGTAAATGAAGTGTTGCCCGTGGCACACTTAAAACAGCCCTTATTAATAACTAGCTAAAGATGATTCCTATTTTACAGCATTTCTTTGGAGACACTCAAATACATACTGCTTGCTGGGGCAGGTAAAACATCCTCCTCACTAATACTCTGAACTGCTTTACCAGATCCTCTCTGCCTCCTCAGGTAATATAAGGGCAAACTTCAGTGGGTCCTTCGTATGGTGTTTGAAACAACAGCTGAGTTGTTTCATGGGTGTATTTAATGTCTCCTTATCTAACAAATATAGCACTAGGAAGACATGGATTGACTCATTTTTATTAACCAGTAATGGATTTATTTTATTTTTATTAACTAATTTCCCAAGGTACTGCCCCATATTTCGCCAGTAGAATAGAAACCCTTTATCATGTTCCTGCTATAACTAGGAACCTAAAACTGTACCTATGACAAAGTAGTTGCTCAATAAATATTTGTTGAATGAACGAATACATCAAATGCTTAATAAATGTTTTTAAATTAAGAACTTTGCTAAATGAGAACCTGGCTGATCATGAGCATTATTAAGGGAGCTTTTTAAAAATACAAGTTCCAGGACTCTAGCCCTCGCCGATCAGAACCTCTGGAGGTGGCATCCAAGTGATCCTGGGACTTACCTAAGTTTGAGAACCACAGAAAAGCATCTCCCATGGTGTCTTATCAATTCCTCAGACAGCACCTCCTCTAAGAAGCCTCTCATGCTTTCCCTCGCCCCGGCGAGAGGATGTGGTTCTCCTTATCTTTGAACCCTATAGTACAATGTCATTACCTCTCCAGTGACACTGATCTCACTCTGGCTTGAATCTCAGCAGGTTCTTTTCTGTCTTAACTCATTTAGGTAAATGGTAAATTCCTCGCACACAGGTACTCCATACCTTTCAGCATCACACCCATTGGGTGACCTGAATTTCAGGAGGAGCCTTTTCTAACACATTGATTTATCATATTTCCATGATTCTAAGTTAAAGAGGCAATATTGACCTGATAATGGGTTTGTTTCAAGAGAAGAAAAGTAACATCTCCAGAATAGAGTGGCTATGTGTCAGATACTCTTAAAGTACAATGCAGTGTGACAAGGCTATGAATTATTAGTTTATCTTTTTTGTAATAACCTACCCTGTGTGTCGAGATTATCTTCTGTAAGATCATCTTTAAATCACATAAACGGAAAGGTACTCCTAACACAGTCAACGTGTCTCAAATGAAGGCAGACAGTGGAGTCATTACTTCCAATAGATGGTATAGCATAGCAGGTGATGATAAAGGCAGCGACAGCACTATAGTTCTGGTATCATATTCCAGCATTTTAATTCTCCCGGTAATTTTACAAAGGTTATTTTACAGTAGAGAAAACTGAAGCTCATACATTTAATCAGGAAATATCTGGAATTCACAGAATTATAGACAATTAAGGTGAGAATTCCCTTTTAAGAACATCTGGTTCTTCCTTTTGGTGTTATGGGTGACTAAAGTGGGGCCAAATTCAGAGCATGAATCAATGGCATAGGTTGGACTAGAGTAGGGGTCCTTCTCACACACACGCTCACACACACACACTCTCACACAGACACACAGTCAACAAGGGAATATAGGAGTTAAGTTATATTCTCCCATACCTATATTTTCCATCCATATATTTTACCTCCTTGGCATATATTTTTTTTCTATTATTACCTGTTTGTTTTCCTAGATTAAGTAGTAACGGGTCAATTGAGAACTTGATAACGTCCCATGGGAGCAAGGTCCCTCCCACTCCAGCTGCACTGTACAGGTCAGCGCCCCATTGCATGGTGGTGATGTGAGCAAAGACTCTTCAGGCTCCAATGTTCTTGGTGGTTGTGACTTCCTCTGAGCCCCTTGCAGGAAGTCAGTGGTAAGGCACATGCTGGATGCCTCATTTTCCTCAGAACCCTAGGCTGCCCCAACCCCAAACCAGTTTCCTGTCACCATCACTGAATGTCACCCAGAGCAACTATGATGGAGGAAGAGCTCTATGCCTCCCATGTCAGCTGAGCTGACTGCAAGCCTTATCTCTCCTTTTTCTCTTGTCTTCAGATTAGTTGCTCTTGTTAACAGTTGGGCCCTATTCAAATTAAATATTTTTTTCCCCAAGAAATAATGGCGTTTTTGGAAAGAATAACAACAATAACAAGACATTCTTAATTAGGTAGAAGAGACGTTCACACTCCCCTCTTCACAAGATAGTTGGTAAACTTCTGGGGTTTTTTTGTTTTGTTTTGTTTTGTTTTTGTCTACGTTTCTTCCTCTTTAGAATAAGTTACAAGTCTGCCTCTGTTGAAGTTTTGCTTCTTCCTGCCTCGAGTTTAACCCATCCCATTTCAATGAGACAAGAGCAAACGCTTCACTATTTGGCAAAAGGGGATCAATTTCAAAGACAATTTATGCTACATGTACTACGTTGATGAATATCACACACATGATGTTGAGATAAAGAAACCAGACACAAATTCCTTATTCACAGTAGCCCCAAATCGGAAACAGAGATGGAGACAGAAAGCATATTAGTATAGCAGGGGTGCAAATGGGACTAGAGTATCTTTACAAAGTGACAGAAATGCTGTAAAATTAGGTTGTGGTGATGGTTGTACAACTTTGTAAATTTACTAAAAATCATTGAATTGCACACCTAAAATGGGAGAATTTCATGTTACGTAAACTATGCCTCAAAAGCTATTTTTAAAAATTCAATGAAATAATCTTGGATCTTTGATGTCACAAAAATCACTTTTACTTCAGAAAACTACTGACCCCAAAGAGGGGAAAATATAATTTTTGGAAAATCAAGTTTTTTTAAAGGATGATTCGTAAGCAGCCTTAAAAGGGTTTTTCATATATTGTTGGATAAACAGTTGACATTCATATCTGAGAAAAGGGAAATAAGAATCTGGTTAGTTCTCTTCTGCCCTCACCATGCCCAAGATTCTGCACAGAGCACGTTGTAGAGAATGTGGGAGGCTAATGGCAGGCACAAGATTACACTATTGTTCCAGAAAGATTTATAACTCATTTTCTTGAATTTAAAAAATAAAATTCATGAAACACAAAATTATTAAAGTAAATTCTGTGTGTACAAAGACAGAATCCTAGGACTGTTTCAGGACAACTTGGAAAAAGATAATGTAGTAGCTTTCTGCCTTTTCCTGGATTCTTCCCCGTTTTCAGGCAGCAGCTAGGGCTGGCCAACCCTTTCACTGTGTTGGGAAAGGGTTGCCACGGCTGAACAGAAGTCTCAACTTAAAATTTCTTTCTGTTTTTTTTTTTTTTTTAAACAAGTTTGATGGAGATAAAATTGACACTTAACATTGTACAAGTTTGTACAATGTCATTGTACAACATAATGATTTGATAGATGTATATATTGCAAAATGATTACCACGATAAATTTATTTAACACCCATCCCCAGACATAGTTACAATTTTTTTTTATAATGAGAATTACTCTCATTATAAGATCTACTCTCTTAGCAACTTTCAAATATACATCATAGTATTATTAACTATAGTCACCATGCTGTACATCACATCCCTAGACTTACCTTATGACTGGAAGTTTGTACCTTTTGACCACATTTACCCAATTCCCCCACCTTCCACCGCCCTTAAATTTCAAAATAGACTCTAGAAACTCTCAGCAGAGATAAGAACAATTTGGGGAGTTTCACAAAGTTTATGTGGTAAACTATAGGTTTGGCAGGAATGTACAATGATTTAAGAGCCAAATGTCCCCCTCCCGCCACATACACAGGCTGCAGGTTTAGGACCAACTTGGAGAAGCAGGTTATGTTTTCTTCGCAAGGATGAGCTTTCTAACTACTATTAGTGATGTTGTGAGAGACAGAGATTATTTGTTAGGACTGTTATAAGTAAGAGCTGCATGTTCAGCAGAGTCAGCGGAGACCAAACTTGGATGTTTGCAAGAATCACATGGTAAGTTTATAAAAATTTCAGGTACCAAGGTCTCAGTCCTGGAGATTCTAAGTGCATAGGTATGAGGTGGAGCATGATCAGCTGTTTGCTCTTGATGTTTTTTTCTTTTTTTGCACTTTAGACTGTTCAGGTAATTGTGATAATTGACGAAGTTTGGGACATAGAAGTTTAGGGACTTAGGCCAGCTCAGTGGTTCCCAACCAGGGATGGTTTTGTCTTCCGGGGAACACTTGACAATGTCTGGCATCCAGTCATTAGAGGCCAAGGATGCTTCCAAGCATCCTGTAAAGCATAGAATAGCCCCCTACAATGCAGAGTTGTGGGCCCAAAACATCAATGTGCTGAAGTTGGGATTACCCTGGGCTACTCTTTATATGGTCCTTTCTAACTCTGAGATTCTAGGATTCAAACAATTAGCAAGGCCATCTGTACTATTTTTATGTATAGACAACCCACCTTTTGGAGAGGGCGCTTGTGTTGTTCTAAATTGTATATACTTTGTTCCACGTACTACAAGTATATGCCCACCACATGAGGTACCTGTCACTCTTTGGCCTTCACTTAAGGCTCTCACTATGTCTAAGTTAAATGAATCATAATAATAGATTTTGCAAATATTCGCAGCACAGATTTACAGCTAGGTGGGAAGAGAGCATTAGACATGAAGTACTCAAAACAGAGCTAAGATTTTAAAGTTCCCAAAAATGAATAAACTGTTATATCCATTTGCATGTACTGATTTCATCAGTGCTAGTAAAATTGTCAGGAGGAATAAAGGGAACATTTGGGGGACTTTCCCTCTCTCCACTTTCCTCATGCCACCAGTGGCTTCATGTTTTTTCTCCTTTTGCCTGACAGCAAAATCAGCACTTTGGAAGGGGCCTGAAAATATATATTCTCATTAAGAAATTAATGAAGCTTCCAGGACAGAAAGCTTTGTGTTCTTGTGTTGGAATGGAGACTTGGCTTCTAACGTTTGCTGAATGGAGGCATCACAGATTAGTAGAATGATATGGCTTTGCTCACATGCCTCATTCAAGGTTCAAGTCTCAGGTCTGCCACTTAATGGTTGTAGGTCACAAGAAAGTCACTGAAGCTCTCTGGCACTGAGTGTCCTCACCAGGACACTGAAGATAGTAACATCTAGATGGCAGTGTGTGGTGAGGGTTGGGTAATATCTGTAATGAATCGGTATGAGATAAGCTCCAAGAGGACAGAATTTGTGTCTGTGTGTCCTCATTCACTGCTTATTTCATCACTAGAAGAGTCTCTGACCCATGGTAAGAGTTCAAGAGATACCTGTTGATTGAATATATGAAATAGTAACCATTATCGCTATAAGTCTGCTCTAAGCCAAGTGGGCCTATAGTATTTCCTTCACTCACAGGCAAGTGGAGCTGGTTTCGTGAGCCTGGTTTTGTGGGATCGCTAATCTTCCACTCTTTCTAACCATTCCAGGGCAAAGAAGGAGCCTTCATGGTACGAGATTCCAGGACTCCAGGAACGTACACCGTGTCTGTTTTCACCAAGGCCATCGTAAGGTATGGTGCTAAGCAGGCGGGTGAGGAGGGCGGTACACACAGCAACGTCAGGCAGTGCAAGAGGCAGAGGGGTCCCTGGGAATCACCGGTCTGTTTGCCCTGGCCCCTCTGAGAAAAAAAAAAAAGGCCAGAGAGATTAAGGACATAACTGAAGTCACTTAGCTGGAAAGTGACATAGCTAGGACTGAATGCCAGGTTCTCTTCCCAGTTAGCATCCCTGAGTGCAGAGCTCTAAAGAATTAAACTATCTGGCCCTGTATCTGATGAGTTTGTAATTAATTACATAGAATAATAAAAAGACACTTCTGACTAAAAATGAGAAGATATGAATTCTAGTTCTGGCTTTGCTAATAAAGCTACCTACCATTTGCTGAGTCACGATGTGCCAGAGCTTTACAGACCATGTCTAATCCTAATAAGCCCCAAAGCAGGTGTTTCTCTGCTTCTTTCACACAGAAGAAACTGAGACTCAAAGAGCCTCTGGCACGTCCCTGAAGCCATGCGGCTGAAGCCATTCCCGCTCCGGCCAGCGGGCAGGACCCCACGCGTCTGCCCCGCTCCCCACTGCAGTTTCCTTCTCTATAAAATGTCCCAGAGCCTATCTAGGTCTCAAGTTCTCTTCTAATTAGAAACTTCATAAGAACTAAGCAATTTGGCAATGCCCAAAGTCCAGGAAGGATTAAGAGAAGAGAGGAAAAGTGATTATTGAGGGATCCCCGGGGAGTACTTGTTGGAGGACGAAGGGTGTGCGCGAGAGCAGGGCTGGACCATGTTGAAGAGGAAGAGTTCTGTCCTGGGGTGGGAAAGAACACAGTGCCCGTGACAGAGGGGCTGTGCCTCCGCCCTGCACAGGGGACAGTGGCCAGAGTGACCCGCAACTCCATAAGGTAGGATGGAGGAGTAAGAAATAAAGCTGTTTTGGGGTTCCCCAAGACCAGCCCCGTGTTCGGTCATTCACTGGGAAGACACATGGGACTCGGCATATAGCTGTACTCCAGGCTGAGGTTTATTACAGTGAAAGGATACGGAGCAAAACCAGCAAGGAGAAAAGGCACATGGGCAAAACGCAGAGGAAATCAAAGGCAAGCTTCCAAGAGGCCTCTCCCAGTGGAGTCACACTGGACATGCTTAATTCCTCCTGGAACAAGTTGCGACAACAGGGGTGAGGTGGCATCTACCAGGGAAACTCTTGAGAGACTCTGCTCAAGGTTTTCATCAGGGGCTGGCCACGTAGGCAGCCTCTGCCTAGCACATAGCAAAATTACAGACTCCCAGAAGAAAAGCAGGCATTGAGCATAAACCACATTGTTTATACAAACAATCTGAGCACAGGGAGCCACCCTTATTGGTTAGAAAATGGTGAGAACCCTCCCAAAATCCAAGTTCTCAGATGGCAGCCAAGGGCCAACCTCGAAGCAGTCCTTTCTAAGGACAGGAGTCAGGGCTGCTATGTTAACTCTTTGTAAAAGGAAAACTCAAATAAGTATAAAGAGGCCCGAGATACTTCCTTAATATACACTGATAATTAGTTAAATCCAGAGAGCAGGGAAGGCAAACACGTAGCACATATGAGACTATTCCCCATTTCATGGTTTTAGAAGAAACATCACATCAATGACTCTAATTGGGTACAGATATAGCCTCAGAGTCCTTAATACAACACCTTGGGCCAACCTGTCAAGACTGACACAGGTTGAAATATATCTGCCGTCCTCATGAGAGGGTAAAAAACAAAGCTAATAGGAATCTGATACCAGATTGACGTTTTTATGTCTAAACATTGCTTCTCAATAATCACTGCATTTATGTTTCATTCGTTTAAGTGAGAACAACCCCTGTATAAAGCACTATCACATCAAAGAAACGAATGACAATCCCAAGCGATACTATGTGGCTGAAAAGTATGTGTTTGATTCCATCCCTCTCCTCATCAATTATCACCAACACAACGGAGGAGGTGAGTTCTAAGGGACAAGATGGGAGCCTCACACAGGAAATTGGAGAAAAGTGACACACGCCCCACCTGGTTTCTTCATGTCAGACAAGCTGACCTTAAATAATAACTAAATAGACAAATAGAAGAGGATGACAAATATTTGATTATATTAAATATTTTCTATTAGCAATTTCGCTGTTTGAAAATGTGAGATTTCACCACCTGCCCACCTGAGATTATGACTTCTCAGAGAGGGTGTAATCTCAGTGATTGGGCTGTGAGATTTGTTTTCCAGAATAAAAGCAGCGTTTTCATTGGGTTATATTTTTTCCCAGGTGATTTAACTTGAACAGTTGCTACAGTAAAGTTCTAACAATAGCCTTTTGCTTTTGAATCAACCCAGGCCTGGTCACTCGACTCCGCTATCCGGTTTGTTCCTGGAGGCAGAAGGCCCCGGTCACAGCAGGGCTGAGATACGGTGAGCAGTGCATTCAGGAATGTTATAAATTTGCACTAAAACTCATGTCTCTAAAGGCCTGGGGCAAATCTGAGTGGACTTTTCATGAAACTCTTCCTCACAGTTAAAATGACCATTAGAACAGGTACACTGTGTATCTGGAGGTGGATGGTGTGTACAAATGAACAGTTACAGTATGTGTGAGTAAGAGAGGTATATCTAAGCCAAATCAGTGTCCACTGGTTTTAGTTAAGAGTTCGTCAATGAAGTGTTTATTGAGCACTTACTTTGTACAAAGCACTCTACTAAATGCTGTTAGCACTATATTCCCACTTATCCTCTAGAACTTCTGTATCATCTAGTTTGTTGAATATGGGTCCACTGCAAGAGCTGTAAGCTAGGAACATCCAGAAGTGTTTGTTTGCATAACACAGTTCTAATGTTTTTTAAATGCTTTTAGGCAAGGTATGCATCTCTAGTGCCACAGGCCCTATTCCTTCTTCTCCTATGAAACTATCATCACCCACTTGTAATTATTTGCCTGGAACCCAAAGGCAATGGGTTTGCATCCCCTGGTCCAAACTGTGCCTGTTGAGAAGGCTGTGTGATTTTTATTTGGTGTCTCCCAGACTGGTGGTTCTCAAACTTCAGTGTGCATCAAAGTCATCCAGGATGTTTTTTAACAGTGTTGACTACTGGACCCACCCCAACACTTACCCAAACTATGCCTGATGGTGGCAGTTGCATTTTAAATGAGTGCCCTAGGTGATTTTGACACAAGTGGTCAGAGGGTAATATTTTACTTGCCATGGGCTCTCATCCCTAACCAGCACCATATCTGGCACACAGTAGGTACTCAGTAGTTTTCTGTTGAGTCTCTGCCTCAAAGAGGTAAAAACCAAGCTGTTTGTGGTACTCAACCAAATATCAGGAAAGGAAAATGCCTCTTTAGCCTCCTTAGAAAAATAATTCTCATAACTAGAATCTTAGTGTGTCTATGCTGGATGGGAACTCAGAGATTATCTTATGAACCCACTCATTTTGTCAATGTGAAAATGGAGATTCAGAGCCGTTTTATTTATTTATTGAACATTTATCGAGAGCTGCCATGTGCCAGACACTGTGCTGGCTGATACCTCTGTACTGGTCCTCTTGGACTCCACCTCCATGCTCCTACCCCTGCTAAGCTAGCAGAATGCCATGTACACAGTGGGAGCTCTCGATGGATAAATGAATGAGTGAATGGTCTGCTCATATGAAATTTGCTCTGTATGAAAAATGACAACAAAAAATTTTCAATCAGATGCAGAAAATGGTTGGGACCTTACAAGAACCTTTTCATTTACTTTCTTTAATATTTTGATTAATGCCACCCTCCTTCCTCTTTCCATGTACTCTCCTCCGCATACATTTTTCATGGTTTTAAATGCATATCGTTTGGAGAAAAGATAATAATTTTATCTCTCTGTGATATTTCCAAATCTAGGGCTTATCTCGTATGCCATCTCTGGGTTATATTAACAATAGGCTAACCTTCTACATAGGGTATACGATCTCCTGGTATCCTTCTACCTTGTATCTACTGCTTGCCAACCCCAAAAAACCCTCTCTCTCACCTCAGGGAAATGGGTGATTGATCCCTCGGAGCTCACTTTCGTGCAGGAGATTGGCAGCGGGCAATTCGGGTTGGTGCATCTTGGCTACTGGCTCAACAAGGACAAGGTGGCCATCAAAACCATTCAGGAAGGAGCTATGTCAGAAGAGGACTTCATAGAGGAGGCTGAAGTCATGATGTGAGTGCCCAGAACAAGGGTATGAACGATGCCTCGGGGAGGGTATCCTGCGCCATGCTCTTTCATACTACTCTGATGCTAAGTCATGCCAGATCCCTCCTCAAATCCAGCAATGGCTCCCTGAGGTGTGGAGAATAAAATCATACTCCTCACATGGTCTACAAGACCTGTCACGGTCTGGCCCTGCCCGCTCCCCAATCTCACATCCTGCCCATCTCTCCTTGGGCTCACGATGTGCCAGATACACTGGCCTCCACTCATCCTCACCCGTACCAGCTGACTCCCTGCCATCCTTTAGGTCTCAGCTAAAATGACGGATTTTTATCTGGGGGTGGGGGGAGGAATGCATTTTGAGGAGACTGAGTTTGGACTATCTCACCCCTTGCCTTCTTCTTCCAGGAAACTCTCTCACCCCAAACTGGTCCAGCTGTATGGGGTGTGCCTGGAGCAGGCCCCCATCTGCCTGGTGTTTGAGTTCATGGAGCACGGCTGCCTGTCAGATTACCTGCGCAGCCAGCGGGGGCTCTTTGCGTCAGAGACCCTGCTGGGCATGTGCCTGGACGTGTGTGAGGGCATGGCCTACCTGGAAGAGGCGTGTGTCATCCACAGAGACCTGGTAGGAGGGCGCGGGACAGCCACTGAAATGCGGAGCTACCGAGACTGGGAATGCATTAGTCAAGAACTGGTCGCAGTCTATCTCCCTCTCCCTCCCAGCTTCTTCCTTCCTGCACGCACTTTGGGATTTTCCTCGTGGGAAAATGTCCCAGGAGGACTCAGATCACAGCCCCGCCTCTAACTTTTTCCCTCTCAGATGTAGTTTACATTTTCCCTAAATGAAAGTAACAGCCTCTTCTTCTTCACCTCTCTGTGCCTCTGTTTCCTCCTGGGAAAATGAGAATAGACAAGCAGTTTTCCTCAAAGTGTTATCCAAGCATTTACCAGAATCACACTGGGGAGATCCTAAAACCATCCTCAGAATCTCTGGGCTTTAGGGCTCAGAAATATTCATTTTAACATGTCCCCTATGAGATCGTAGGCACATTAAAATTTGAGACTTGCCAGAGTCTTTTATTACTAGGGGCTTTTCTAATAAAACATTCTATGATACTAATTAGGGACCAGGTACTCTCCCTATCAAAAAATAGTAAGACGATTAGCAACCTCAAAACATTCTTATTTTAGTCAAATGGGCAACAGTTTCTTCCTATCATCCCTAATGTTAACATTTTTTTTTTTTTGATCGCATCAGGTTGCATTAGAGCATATCACTGGTTAGACAACACCATAGATTTCTCCTCTAATTAGGGTCCCGGGAATGAATAAAAGACGAAACTTACTCACCCTGATAAAGGATCTTACACATTCAGCTTTCTAGCTAAGTTCCATCTGGTGCTTGTGAAGTTTAATTAATGTTTGTAAAGCTCCTCAATGCCCTCGTACAACAGCACATGGAAAAGCAAAGGACGGTGATTATAGGCGACACCTTAATTACTGATTACAGTTTCATTCTCCTTTCTGTTGGCTTGTCTCCTCTCCAGGCTGCCCGAAATTGTTTAGTGGGAGAAAACCAAGTCATCAAGGTGTCTGACTTTGGGATGACAAGGTAAGAAGGGATGTGGTGCTGGTACAGTCTCAAGAATGGGACTCAGGCCCCCAGAACATTTGGACATTCTCTCTCCGCTCTCTCCTAAGGTTCGTCCTTGATGATCAGTACACCAGTTCCACAGGCACCAAATTCCCAGTGAAGTGGGCATCCCCAGAAGTCTTCTCTTTCAGTCGCTATAGCAGCAAGTCGGATGTGTGGTCATTTGGTGAGTGTCGTTCCGGCCCCACACGCACATGATCTGGGACTGTGGGCCATCTGCAGGGCCAGCTCTACGTCCCCTGATCTCTAGAGGGTGAGGAGCCCCACTGGTGGTGTGTGTGTAATAACAGCTCTGAAAAGTGTGAAGGGTTCCTCATTACCGTTTTTGTTCTTGGAGACCTTTGAAATGGCAGTGTGTAAAAATGCGAGTGGGAACTTAGGATTCTGGTGACAACTGCTGTGAGACCAAAAGCTAGAGTTGTCGGGAGATTAGAATGTAAGTTTCTTGAGGCCAGGGACCATATTTTGTCCAATATTATATTCCCATACTTCATCTTCAATAAGTATTTACTCATTCATTCAGCAGCAATTTATTGAGCATCTACTATATGCCAAGGGCTAGTCTAGGTGCTCATAATATAGTGGTGGATAGGGTAGGAAAGACTCCCGTTCTCTTGGAGCTAAATTTTAGGGGAGACAGATAACAATTATATAAACAAGCTAATAGATATGTCTATAAGATAAGTCAGATAGTGATAAGTGCTATGCATAAAACAAAACAGTAATGGGATAGTGACTGGGACAGAGGGAGGGTCTGTTTTAAATAGTATGATCTAGGAAAGCCTCACTAAGGAGGTGACTCTTGAGCAGAGACCTGAATGATGAGAGAACGCTGTGCCCATTTGAAGATCCAGGAAACAGCAGCCCTGACAGAGGAACCAGCATGTGCAAAATGTTGGTGTGCCCAAAGAGAAGGGGGACACCGTCTTATTGGGAGAGCAGTAGGCGATGAAGTAAGCAGGCCATGATGAGGAATTAGAAGTTCTAACAAATGCAAGTGGGCATGAATGAAGGGCCAAACGAATGATGTTGTTGTGGCAGGAAGCACTAGTCTTGCTGGATTTTTCGTGGCATCCTAAGATCACCTCTCTGATTCAGATTATAAGAAGAATCATGCTTTGGACAGGAACAGATTGGAGTTTGACTTTGCCATTCTGTATGAAGAGAGGGTTTGCCAAGTGTATTGACTAATAGTAGAAACTAGGGAGAAGCTGACTAATTAAATCTCTTAGGAGAAGAACTAGTTTTAAAGTCTTTTCTAATGTTTTCGAATATCCCTTTCCAACACCCAAGCAGTTTGTTTACTTTGAGTCCTCCTGAATGGTTCCTTAAAACAGTCCCCCTATTCAACAGGCCTGGCTATGACTTTACTGGCCAAATTTAAGTTTCAGAATGAACTTGGAAGAAATAAAGCTGCACTAGAGCAACCTCAGAAGATTCTCCTTTCCCCAGTGCATATAACTAGGAAGGGTAAGGTTGACACGTGGACAGTCTCTGCAGGTGTTACAGCTGGTCACATTGCACCAAGCCAGGGGACCCATAAAGAGATGTTTGCTGCTGTGACCACTTTGGCACATTTGCCTACAAATTCTAAATAGGGTTTTTTCTGCCATAGATTGTCAACCTGGAAATTTTCTGCTGCATGTTATAATTAGATAGTTGAACTAATGTCCATTCCTGCCTAGGATATGTCAACTAGAGTGTCCAAAGATGAGACTGACTGATAGAAGCAGAGTAGAAAGAGAGAGAAAACCGAGGTGGCAATTCTAAGAAACAGAATCTGGATGAACCGAGAGCTCGATGCCTTCCTCAAGGCCACTGAACTTTGTCATGTAGTTTGAGGTTTTGCCCTAATTAGTTGTGCTATTTTGAGTGAGTCAAGTAATCTCTGTGGGCCTTACGTAGTTTCTCATCAGTCCATTACAAGGTTGTCTTGGAAGCAGTTGTTTTCAAACAAGCTTTGAGCAGCGGAGACTCCCATTTTCCAAAGAAATCTCACTAGAAATCCTGGCATCTTGGGGGTACTAACCAGTCTTATTTAGTTAGATTCTGAATTTCTAAAACTTCTGAGGCACCTCCGAGGATCTGATCCAGTGGTCTGGGCTTGGGGCCCAGGACCTACTATTTTAACAAACTTCTGAGGTCATATTTATTCAGACGTTTTGGAGATCATACTTTGCAAAATTCTGCCTTAAGGTTCTCTGGAATATGCTTGGAAAACCACTGGGTTAGGTGATCGGCAAATTCTCTTCTCACTCTGACATCCTATGACTGTATTAGCACACAATAAAGCTAGCTGTGACATCTGTACTTCGTGCAGAAGAGGAAAAGAGATTAAATCAGAGGTCAAAAATGGGAAACCTAAAAATGTGTTTTGCTTGGTCCACATAGTATTTTTAAATCCAATTGAGTTTGTATTTTAAAACTCTCTATTTGTGACCTCTTTTTCAAAATGAGAAGATGTGGCAGTCCCGAGCCCTTGTTGCCATGTACCCAACATTGGCTGGAGCTAAATCACAGCTGTCTCCTTAAGACAGAATTTTTTATCTCCAGTTTTCACAGTCCTCACAGTCCTCACCAGTCCCTGTTATGACACCTCTCATCTTCTCCATTCATTTACATCACTTGTAGATGTTTGAGTTTATGTCCTTGCAAGTTTTAGTGGTAGCATTTGAGTTACATATAACGAAGGGCTGAGCTTGAACATTCTCCACCACTAGAAAAGTTGAGAAATCTGTTCTTTAGAAATAGTACCAGCCTAATACACCTAATACATCTTCATGCCAGGGAGCCTGCGATTCCTAGATGTAGGTTTGTTTGTTGGCTATTTGTGAACTTCATCATTAGCTGTGCTGCACTTACCATTGCTCATAGGTGTGCTCATGTGGGAAGTCTTCAGCGAAGGCAAAATCCCATATGAAAACCGAAGCAACTCAGAGGTGGTGGAAGACATCACTACTGGATTTCGGTTATACAAGCCCCGGCTGGCCTCCTCACACATCTACCAGATCATGAATCATTGCTGGAAAGAGGTCAGTAAAGGAAAGGTCATTATAATCTACAACGTCATGGTCTCCCCCCTTCCCTAGAAAAAGGAACCTTTGTAAAGAATGAGGCAGAAGCAATGACTAAAAGAGAATAGCAAGAAAGTAACCTTGAGCATCTATTAACTAGAGAGGTTCTCCACCCCTAAAAGAGCTGGCAGTGACCTTAAACATCATTTGATTTGCTGCACAATGTCGAAGCCATCAAAATGTTGTCAGAGGGAAAGGCGGGGGGATGAAGCCTATGTTAATACATCAATTTTCTGAGGAAAAAAAATGTGTGTAGCATCATAAAACCATTGAATGTACTTCTGGGGATCAGAAGTTCACTCGTGCTGTGGAAATAGTAAAATGACTTAAAAAGTTCATTTTATTCATTCAGCAGTTTAGAATGAGATGCCAATTACTCTGCACCCTCCCAGACGTCTCAGTTATCCCCATGCTTGGGTTGCAGGCTATGCCTTGTGCTGCATCAGCATGCGTCTTAGATGTCTTCTGGTGAGTTAGGAAATTCTGAATTTAAACCACAGCTGAATGTTGCTGAAATAGGGAGTTAATACAAATTCAGATCATCGAAGGGTAACAAGGTAGAACTGGAGAAGTATCGAATTCTTCAGTTTCGTCTCAGCTTTGCCATTTCTTAATCATTAATCTTGGACAGTTCTCTATCTAAACCTCCTCTTTCTTACTGGTTAGAGAAATAAATAATGTTTGATTTGTAAGTTCATAAATCTTAAGTTCATAGATCATTCATAATCAAAAACAAAGAAACAATAAAGACATAAACAAGGGCACTTAATCTAGTCCATTTTACAAGAATTAAATCCTATAATAATTATGATGGCTGACATTTATTTAGCACTTCTTCTTTTTTCACTTTTATTGATTTTTTTTAATTAATAGACTTTATTGTTTAGAAGTTTTAGGTTTACAGACAAATTGAGCAAGTAGTACAGATTTCCCATATACCTTTCTCCTCTATTAATAACTTTTTGCATTAGTGTGGAACATTCGTTGCCATTAATCAACCACAATTGATACCTTAATATTTACTGAAGTCCATAGTTTACGTTAGGGTTTATTCTTTGTGTTGTACAGTTCTGAGTTTTGACAAATATATATATCATATTTCTACCATTATAGTATCATACAGAATAGTTTCACTGCCATAAAATCCACTGTTCTTCACCTATATATCCTTTCCTCTCTGCTCCCTGAATCCTTAGCAACTATTGACCTCTTTATTGTCCAAGTTTTGCCTTTTCTAGAATGTCATATAGTTAATATTATATGGTATATAACCTCTTCGGATTAGATTCTTTCACTTAACAATATGCATTTAAGATTCTTCCATGTGTTTTCGTGGCTTGATAGTTAATTTTTTTTATCACCAAATGGTATGGCATTGTCTGGATGTACCGAGTCTGCAGAGGCTATGGCTATTGATTTCTTCTTTGCATTGGAACTGGCTAGGACACACAAATACAAAGAACTCAGAATCTTTTCTTCCCTCTCTAGAAACCAGAAGACCGGCCACCTTTCTCCAGACTCTTGAGTCAACTGGGTGAAATCGCAGAATCGGGACTTTAGCAGAGACTCAGCTGCAGATCCTCAGTGGGGGCAGGAAGTCCTCCCTCCATAGAGCATTAAAAGCTGCCACCAGCCCAGGACTCCCCAGAGGACGCTGGCCTGTGGCGCCGTCCCTGAGCTGCCATGGAGGCAGCACCCTGACAGAAGCTGGCCCTGGGCCACAGGCAGGAGGCTCAGCCAATGAACTGGGAGCGAGGCCAGAGCAGCGGCGATGTCTCTTCCCTCCCTCCAGCCTCTTATCTTGCATGGTGCATAAACCTCAATCTGACAGCTTTCAGGCAACATTTCTCGCACTTCTTAGAGAAAGGGAGAAATGGGGTAGGACCCTGGATTATTATTATTTTAAACATGGATATAAAATTCATAGTCAAAAGACTTTTTATGTCACCTGACGACACAGAATCCCAGGATATGGGCAGAGGAACAAAGAGCATGACTCTTTTTCAAGGAGAACTGTGAGTTAAGGACAAAAAGAGTAAGCTCTGCCATGATGCTGTCAGCCACAGCTTCCTGCCATAGAGGATGATGGAACAGCTGCTCACATCAGAGGCCGGATATTCTGAGAAACAGCTTTATGAGGTTTTACTCAGAGTACACTGCCACCTCTCTCCTTGAAGGGAGCACGATGGACTCAGGTGAATAATTTCGATCCCACAGTTGGAGAGTTAGGTATCTGGTGTCCAGGCAGAAAGAGGGCTTCTGATGATAGGGAACCAACTGGTACAAAGGCCTTAGGCTGTTACCACTCCGATGTGTTAAGCCAGGCAGGTGACTGTGCCTTCCCTTCTGCACAGACTGCTTCCGGAGGCATCCTAGGAGGAAGTGGTTCCTTCTGAACACCGACTCTCAGGACTGTCATCACTTCCACCCCTTCCAGGAATCAGTCCCCTCTCTGCACTCTGTCACCCTCATCAACAGAGGGCAGCATCGTGTTGGGCAGTGTAGCCTTGCAGAGAAATTGTAACTTGTTTAAGCCCTAGAGATTTGCAACCGTAAGGCTGAGACTTTAAGTCTCCCAGAATTGGGGGAGAAGAACAAAAGGTGTGTTCTTGCTCAAACAATCTGCATGGAAACTGAGTCAGGCACTGAGTGGGATGCTCCTAAGATGCACAAGGATGCCTACTGTTCACTGAGCACTTAAATATTCAAAGTGAATATTTGCTGAGCTTACCCTGCATGCACATCAACCCCGTGAGATAGTATTTTTACTCCCATTTTACAGATAGTAAAACAGAGGCTTTAAAAATCCAGGACACCTCCCAGAAGTGACAGAGCTAGGCAGTATAGAGCTGGATTCTAGCCCACAGCTACCTGACTCCAGTTCGCTTTCTTTATTCCTGTTCAACATTGCCTTTTACTGAAAATGAAAGGGATTGCAGAGGAGAGAAGCACAGCAGAGGGGAAAGGCAGAGAAAACCAACAAAGACATCAACAAAGCATCACCAGCAAGTAATACTGATCCCACACAGACGACTGTGGTTGGCACTGTAGCACTCCAGCTTGGAGTAAGATCTTCTCTTTACTAATCTGTAGCCTCCCCTTTGTCAGAGTTAATAAGTTTGAGCTCACTCAGTTAATTAACCCTTTGATTCACCCAACCCACCAGAGTCATCATGTCTCATGAAGGATTTATAGGAGAGCTTCAAAGCAGCTTGGAAAGATTCTCCTGCAGAAGTATAAATGCTTCCTTTAATTATCATTCCAACTTTGAGCTGGCTGCAGTCTTCTTGGACACTTGGTGGGGAAGAGTACTCCCTGATGTAAGAGAGAGTTAATTTTCCCACAGTGTTCAGATAAAACTCTAGGAGCGATTATTGGATGCCATTGCAATCATCTTTTTCTAAATCATGTGATATTTTGACCAGCCGGAGAGTCAGATGCATAACTTTTAGCTGTAATTATTGTGAAACTGGGAGCCTCAAGACAGAACTCAGAAGATGATCTTATTCAACTTATCCAAAATCATCCCTGTGTATTTTCTGGCATTTTGTAATTCTCTTCTGGAAACTTCAACTACAGATTTCTGAAACATCCAGCCTAGAGGGAAAACATCAGAATTGATTAATTTCTGTGGTCTGGTTTAGAAAAATCTCTCTTGCATGGTATTATCTTGTCTAAGCTCAGATTCACTGGGGCCTTAACTGAATTCATGTCGATAATTTACCTCCCAATGTCCTATCCTGCAAAATGGGCTTCCCGCCCGTTTCCCCCCACCCCTCACATTTTGAAAACGGTGCCATGTGGTCACAGGGAATTCCCTTATAGAAGGTTTCAATTCCAGATACATTTTGTAGATTTTGCCTTTTGTACCTTTTGAGACTATGTATTTATATATGCATAGACTGAATATTTATTAGTGTACAGTCATTGCTAGTGTTCACAATTAAAATGTTACAAATATCTCACCCTTTGTAAAGCACACAAAGTTAAAGATTGGGCCCAGCAAATAAAGTTGTACATTTTAGTAACTATGGTGTGTATGATCTGAGTTCCATATTTATCCAAATGTCGAACAACAAACATTTTCCTTAAATAAAAGTGGTTACATGGTTTCATGTCCCACAGACAAGTAAAGACTCTATGTCGCTCAACATTTGTTTTTATGTTTTTATGTTTTTATGTGCTGAGTGCTACAGAAACAAAGATTTAAAAAAGGCACAGTCTTTACGTTTAAGAAACTCCAGGTGTGGTTGGGAAGGCGGGCATATAAACAAGAATAATATCAGGGGAAACTTCTTAGAACCTTGCTGGTCACAGTGTGGTCCCTGGACCAGCAATAGCAGCACGGCCAGCTGGTGAGAAATACATATTCTCCAGCTTTACCTTGAGACCCGCCGAACAATAATCTACATTTTAACAAGATCCATAGATGAACATATGCAGATTAAATTTTGGGAAGCTCTGTCACAGAGGATATGTCTGACTCAGTTTTGAAGATGAGTTTTAGATTTTTTTTTTTAAGGCAAGAAGTTGTCAGAAATAAGATAAATAGTTTCCAGGTAGAGGGATAGAGGAAATAGAATGAATTGGGAAGCTATTATTAGTTTACTATTGCTGAGCGTAAGTTGATAGAAGGGGTAGTAGACAAATTGAAAGTGAGCCTAGAAATATAGGCAAGGACCATGTTTAAAAAGATGTTTTTTAAAAGATTGATATTCTACCTATAGATAGAAAAAACTATCATTGAGCAAGGAGAGAAGGTCAAATTTGTGTTTAAAAATATATTCTGGCAGCAGCAGGGTGAGTGGATTTGAGAGCGGCAAAGCTGGCGGAGGAGAAACCAGTTTGGAGGTGATCCTTGCCTTGCTCCGAGAACCAGATTATTGTCCATGCTCACTCACTATCATCTGCTACGTGGGTGACACATTGAAATTGTAATTCGGAATTCTTCAGTCACAGTTGGACAGAAATGAATAGCTATTCTCCTCCCCCTTAAAAACCCTGTGAAATAAAAGCTGTGTTTTTATAGTATTGGTGTGTCGAGCTCTCCTTGTACCTTTCAGTTTACCAAATGCCCATGTCCACAGCAGGAGCCAGTTTGTGCACCAGAGAACCGTTAGGCACAGGTGACAAAGCCTCTGGCTTCCATATAGTCCTTTGTGGGACTCATCTCCGGGCTTCACTTCCACTGGAAAATGATTCACATGGGAAACTTCTACAGGGGATTAGACGAACTAGTCTGCTTCTCAGAGCATTTATCCTACAGATCCGACTCTCTCTGGAATCTTCCAGCATTCTGAGGTCCACCCCTCTGAGGAAGAGGCAGAACATACTCCATTCAGCAATACGGACTCTGTGTGTGTGTGTGTGTGTGTGTGTGTGTGTGTGTGTGTGTGTGTGCGCACATGCATGTGCGCACGCACATGCATGTGTGTTCGATGACTGTGATTCTCCCCAAGTGATGTATAGTTGACTTGAGAAATAACAGAACCATACAGATACTGTTAGAAGGAGTTATAGAGATCCTTTCACCTGCTATTGCTTGTCACTGTGTTAGGTGCATTAAGATGAACAAGGTATTTTATCAGTTAGGGACCAAACATGTCGCACTCACATTAAGACGATTCAAGCAGGGCTTGTTTACAAAAGAATTATTTAAAACGGTGTGGGCCAGGTTTAGGAGAACCATAGGAATTGGTATAGAGGAAAATAATAGCCTCTGAAGCAGTTACCACCCTAGGCCTGAAGGGCGAGGAAGGGGAGTGGTCATTTGAATACGGGAGCAGAGAATCACCTGGAGAATGTCCCTTTTAGAGAAGAGGACCTTTACTGAGGGACAGAGGAAGATCGAGGCAGTATCACAGGGAGGAAGCCAGAGGAATAAATACGTGGAGCCCACTCTCCTCCCTCTCTTCCATCAGTTGCTGCAGCTTCCGGTTAACCAAACCCCACTGGAAGCCAGCGGACTGGGAGACCCTGACACAGTGGTCCGCAGAGGCCAGTGATCAGGGGAGACAGTGCGGGGAGAACAGTGAGGTGGTCTGGAGGAGCACCACATGCGGGCGGTACAGACACCACCCTGTCTGTTCCCAGATTCCATGCTCCCAACCTTCCTGTGGGGTTGGTTACAGGGTCTCCTATGCTAGCCTGGGAATGCAGCAGCACCGACCCCATTTAGCCTCAGCTATGTTTTCGCGTCCCAAATGGAATACGCTTAGATCTTCTTTATCAGTTCTCGCCACAAATTATTGTAAATAGTATTTGTTTAAATAAAGATGAAATGTTAAATGTCCTCCATTATCAAGTGATGCCTAAGAGATCGGAGCTTCGAGGGAGGCCAGTTCTTCAGAAGTTATGGGACGTGACCGACGTGAGAGACGACAGCAGAGAAGGGAGGGAAGGCGTTCCCAAAGGGCCCAGGATAGCGCTGCTCTGTTTCAATGGCAAAACGGTCCCCCATGTTTCATCTGTAAAATAACAGTCTACTTCTGCGGCCTCGGGAGGATAAATGAACTCATCCCCATATAGGACTTAGCATAGAGGCTGCTCCCAAACAAACACCCAGTAAGTGTTCGTGTAAAATATATGCTTTGACAGGTCATTTCAGATTCGAAGAACCAAATAGGCAACCTGGTTTCCTATGGAAAGACCTGGGCCCGGGTCCGGCGGGCCTTGAGCAACCCTTCCCTGTTCTTTCATGTGTAAAATGAGGCAATTTTGAGCAAGTGGTCAGGTTTGATCTACTGAACAATGTAAACTGGGTAACTGACCATCAAGTCTCTCTTTTCCTGATAACTACATAGATGTGTGAGCTTTCTGTAGCAAGCCCAGAGCGCACAGAGTTTTTCTGTATTATTCACATTTTCTCTCCATCTCGTACCCTTGTCCTTCTGTCTTCTTAAATTTATTACTAATTAAAAACATTTAATATAATGCATCTTTGTAACTTGTATTAAATATATTTTTGGAGTAAGGTGGCATATTAATGAATACATGGATTCAGTTTGGGAGGGGGAAATGAGGCTGTATATAATTTTGGTTAAAAGCATGAGTTTTGGTTTCACTACCTGGGCAAGTTATATAACTCATCTTAGTTTCTTCAATTATAATATAATTACATTTTTCTTATAGGATAATTGTGAATATTAAATGAAGTAATGCATTTGGTAAATGTTAGCCATTATTATATTAGTACTTATGGTTTCTCTCTCCAGAACCAATTCTTGTGCCCATTCCAGATGCATCATGTTCGTTCCTATGAAGCAGTGGATTTTAAATAAAGATCTAGGTGTCCTAAGTGACTTCAGGCTTTTCTAAAAACAAGGCAATATTGCTACACACAGAACCACAACTCATGGGACACCGCTTTGCAAGTAGCAAAACAATTCTTGCCTGATAGCTGCAATCTTCTCACCGCTGGCAGTGCACCTGGGGTTGGATGTGAAGGAAATCTGAAGGCAGTAGACAGATGGCTATGAATTTCACTGGCAATGTATAAGCCGACTTTACTTTTGACTATTCATTTGACCCATTTTTAGTGAACTCCTGCTATGTACTAGTCTCTTGAATACGGGAGCAGAGAATCACCTGGAGAATGTCGCTTTTAGAGAAGAGGACCTTCTGAACTCCTGCTATGTACTAGTCTCTGAGGATACAATGGGGAGCAAGATGGACACATCCTTTCTCTCTTAGATTTTATGCTCTAAGAGTGGGATGCAGGCAAGTAGGTAAACAATTACACAAGTGGTATAATAGAGGAAGTCCAGGGGGCTATAGATGGCTAACCCTAGCCTGGGGATCTTGGAGGAAGTGCAATCTAGGTGAATACCAGAAGGGTGAATAGAAGTTAGGCAGTAAGCTGGGGGAAAGGGTGGAAGAAGAAAGGAAAGGAAGACAGATTATTTCAAGCAAAGAAGTCAAGTTTGTGCAAAGGCCAAATGCAGCAGAGAACACAGCAAGTTTGGGGAGGTAAAAGATCCCTTTTAGCTGAAGTATATCAAGCTTGTTCATAGAAGAGGTAGACACTAGGTCATGAAGCCCCTTGCAGATCATGGTAAGGGGTTCAGGCTCCATCCTGAGAGCATAGGAAGCTGGTGAAGTGCTTTAGGCATGGCAAGGACATGTCCTTTGTTTTAACTCAAGCCATTGTCCACAGTCAGAGGGTCCTTGGAGAGTATCCAACCTACTTCACTGCATAGAAGGGGAAATGCAGAGGTAAAGCGACTTGCCTAAGAATACCTAATTGCAAAACTAAGACCAAAAGGCAAGCTTCTCAATGTCCAACGCAGCAGTTTCAACAAAACCACATTGTTCCCTTTATAAGCAAATAGAATTCAGGGGTCAAAGATTAATTTTTGCCCAAGATATAAGCAAATATATATGTAATAGTCTTTTTTTTTTTTTAAAGCAACTTCTTCCTAAAAAGTGCAAAGACAGGG